GAAAACATCACCAGTTTTAAAGGACTTGTGTCTAAAGTAGACTTTGCTTGGTGGAGACAGGGAAGTGCATGGGTCAAGTGAAACCACTCCAGATAAGGGAAAGAACCACATTTGCAGCATGCATGGTGCACATTTCCAAACTAGGAATGGGCTCTTAACCAAAGCTGAAGAACAGCACAGTATCAAGGACAGGGCTACAGAAAGTACTGTGCTAGGGCCTTCCTGGTGACATAGGGGTTAAGGCTCAATGTTATCACCTATAGCCTGAGTCTGATCCCCAGCCAGGGAGCTGACCCACATGGCACAGCAGCCTCTCCTGTCTCGCCTGCAGCTCCCCTCAGCAGTGTATCTCAGTCAGTCCTCCTGTTTTCTCCCTGCTGTCTCTGGTGACTCCTCTCACCCCCTCTTCTCTTGTATGCTAAAAAGAAAGAAAGTCCTGAGCTCTGATAAATACAGCCATTGTGCTCAGCATCAATTTCAAGACAAAGGACAATGGCACTGTGGTCATTCCACTTCACTGTCATCTTGCATAAAAACTGCATTGCTCAAGGAAAGGCAAGCCTCCTTATGAAAAAATGAATTATGTGAACCTCACAAATTCAACAACCTCACTGCTATTTTCTATCCTTAGTCAACAAGTACCTTAAAGTTGCCACATACTAGGAACTATTTTAGGTGCAAGAGAGAAATTGGTGACAATAGGTTCCTGCCCACATGAATCTTCTAATTTTGCAAAGTAGGCCTATTGACAATGCACAGGGATAGATGTCATGACCTGTAGGCTGACAAAAGTGTCACCTTCCACCCAAGTTTTAGAAACTGGGGCTTTGTTTTATTTTACTCTCTGCCTGACACAATTTCTTATCTTCCTTCATGACCATCAACAGCCTGGCCTCTCCACCTTCCCAGGAATTCCACACGCTCACAGGCTTTCTTGACTCCCACCTTCAAGCCTGTAATCAAGTGCACATTTCCCTCCTCCCAGATTCACTAATGTTTCCTCTGCCCTGCTCACGTACCTGGAGCCTCTAGGTGCTTGAAGTTTGAGATATGAGTTCCCCAAACCTCTTAAATGGAAGGAGGAGACCAATCTTCTAAGTAGAAGACAGTCTGGGACTTGGTCTTTGAAAGGCTGAGTTCACTGAGCCATGATAAACAGCAGGAGACCGTCCTATAGCCAGGTTGTTCTGCAAGTCCCCAACTTGTTCCCTGGGTATTCTTTTAATGGAAAGTACTAGAGAAATAGAAAAAATGGTTTGTGCTTTTGCTTTGATATTGCTAGACTCCATCTTTTTTCTTCTTTCCATAATTCATTGGGTTCTGCCTTTCTTTGACTTGCAGTCATGCCCTGACTAGATTAACACTTCGTTTTAAATTCTTGTTCTTAATTTGTTTTGTTTGATAGTGTAGCTTAATATAGGAGAAGACTAACATTAACTAGTATAGATTTGACTTGAAAGAAGAGAGAGAGAGAGAATTTCACCCCTAAGAGAGCTTGTCTTCATAGTCCATCATACAGAATAGAATGACTGAAGTACATTTTGCTCTTAGGAGTGGAGACAGTTCTGATTATCAAGACTGAGAAGGAGCTACTTTCATATAGTAGGAGAGACCAGAAATGCTGTTAGACATCCTGCAATGTACATGATAGCTGGTAACAACAAAAAATTATCCAGCCCCAGATAGCAGCAATGCTGAGGTTGAGTAACTCTGGATTGCAGTTATATTCAAAAGGCCAAGGAAGATTACATAACTTCTCACTTGGGCAGACGTTTATCTCAATTCTCTGAAATTATCAGTAACACCCAAAATGGTTTGACTGAGTGTTACAGTTGAGTTTATGTTTGTGGGATTTTACACACCCCCACCTTAAAGTTCAAAGTTATTGCTCACTAAATACTACACCACCAGCTGGTTACTCTTAACCACAAGTGTGTGGATCGGGCTGACCGTGTGATATGCAGACCATTCCTCATTCTGCGTGCTTGAAGCTGGTTTGGGAGTTATTGTCTGTGCTGAGAAACAGGAAAAGGGCAGAAAGGAAAGTAAAAGTAAAAATCTTACCTGGAGTAAAATTCTACTAGGCTTACGTTGTTTTAAAAACGTTATGAGTGAGAAAGAATGCAGATGAATAGACTGATTCTACTTTAGAGATGAAGCATGCCAGTTCTGTACAGGAGTCTCCTTCCTTTCCTTCTTTCCATATCAAGAACCATAGAGAAAAAGAAGGAAGGTAGGAAATTTGGGAATTTGGACATGGACAAGTCAACTGCTCAGCATGAACGCTGAACCTGAAAATCTCTGGATTGTGCTATGAAAATGAAGAGATAACCATAAAACAGATTTTAAGACATAACAAATTGATATTATTGTGCTAAGATGGAAAGAGCTAAGGCTAGGTTCTCTTTTGGATAACTCTCCCCTACACACATGTACACACACACACACACACACACACACATTTTAAAAATCTGACTTTCCTGATTTCTATTATTAATGGTTTCCTCTTTTCCCATTTAACCAAAAGGAAAAATGTGAGAATTTGAAATGAGCCCTGGGCATGTGGATCTTTACGGTCAGGGTGTTGATTTACCTGTTAGGAGATGGCTATGGCAGGTCTGAATACAGGAGAGATCATAAAGCACATAATCTAAGCTATAGAAATAAAATTGTAAGAAATCAGTAAAAGAAAGGAAATGTTCCAAATGGATGACAGAAGGAAAACTGAGTATGGACCTTTCGTTCATGGGCCAGTACCAACTTAGGGACCAGGCTGTGTTCTCAAAAGTTCATCTGACTTCTGGAAGCAAGTACATGAGTAGAGCAGAAGGAAATCAAAGTAGCTTATCATTGCTGGATAGAATCTTCACAAATTCACAGCTCAGTGCTCTCATTTTAAGGAGGAAGAAATAGGTTCAGAGGAGTTGATCATCTTGACAGAAGTTGAGCTTGGAATTTCTCAGCAGTCCACTAACCATGCTAAACTGTCTCTAAGCATAAAGCCAGCAAAAAAAAATGATGGTTAGGAGTAGAGGCATAAGAGGGATGCTGTCCAGGTTACGGGCAAACAGGAGTGAGAAGAGTAAACAAAGTGACAGGGAAAGAACACTGTGGTAGCACCAGAAAGAGAAGGGCATTGGGTGGTCTGGGGTCCACTCTACCTTCTGAAGTGTAAAAATAGTGTGAGCTGAGGATAGGGGCACATTATATTTTGGATTCTGGCACCTGTTGTTGCCCCAAGGATATGGAGTACAAAGGTAGAAATGACTGCCGGTGGAGTCTGGGAGTTCTTTTCAAATAGTCAACATCCTTAGAACCTCATCAGTATTTTCTCAGCCCTCCAAGAATTAATTTATTCAACAAATATTGACTGAACTACTATTTGGTGCCAGATACTGTCCCAGACCATGTGATTATAGTAATGAACAAGGCAGATGAGGTCCTTTTTTTCTGTAGGTTGTTGTTTAGTGAGACAGATAAAAAGTAAGCAAATAAATACGATAATATCTAACCAGGTTGGCCAAAGAATACAATCGTGATTGGAAGATCAACTTTTGGTTGGGGGTTAGGAAAGGCCTCTTAAAGGAGCTGACATTTGACTGAGACCTCAAAGACAAGAGCCAGTCAAGCATAGAGCTAGTGGTAGAGGTGTCTGGGTGAAGAGCACTGCCTGCGTAAAGGCTCATGCACAGGATGGTGTGTGGCAGGTTTTAAGAAACACAGAAAATCAATGTGGCTGGAGCTGAGTGAGCAGGGAGGAGCAGATGAAATGAGGTCATGAGGTAAGCCTGGCTCTTGCAGACTGATGTAGGAGTTTACTCAACAAATATCCATGAAGCACCTACTATGTACAGGGCATTGCTGCGAGTATCAAAATCCTGGTTCAAGGATTCTGTGCCTAGAAGTTCAGCGTTTAGTAAGGGTGACAATACCCCCAAACAATTCTGCTATAGGTTAGAATGTGTTCCACTACAGTAAGAATCATAATGCAGACATTACTGTGCTGTTTAACGAGGTTAGGGGCTTTCCAGAAGCAATTATATCAACACAAATAGGCACCTACTAGAACCAGTATATAGCCCGAAGAAGGGGGTCACACCAGAGGTTCAAGGCACAATATGAGGTCTGCGATCTGGCCATCTGCTCCCCCAGGGTAGGGAGGTCACATCGTCCCGGAGATGAGTCACCAAGCCCACCTTTCCCCTACTGGGTGAGCCTTCTCGGCCTCGTGGGTGGGGCAGGGCCATAGAAATCCCCCCAACTGTCCTAAATCTGTCCACTAAGAAAACCCACTGGAGAGCAGCGAAGACCCCGGCTCCGCTTAGCACCTGACTGATTCATCCAGACAGTCGGGGCAGGGTGGCGACTGCCAGGAACAGGCCCCTCCCCTCCCCCACCCCCAGCCACCTCAGGGGAAAAGGCCTGAGGAAGTTTTGAGGTCCCGGAGCCCAGGAGCGGGCCCTCGGGGCGCGGCCGCAGAGCTGGGGCGGCGCTGGGCGACCCCCGGCCCCGCTCGGGGACCCCGGAACCCCAGCTCCCGCGCGCATGCGCTCCAGGCCCGTCCCTGCGCGCCGGGCCGCGGTCGGGGCGACTCCCGGGCCGGCGCTGCGCCCCCAGTGACTCCCGCCCGGCTGGGGAGCGTGGCGGCTCCCGCGGGCCCACCGGGGCGGAGGGGGGCGCGGCCACCCCGAGCCGGTGGCCAGCCCCGGGGCGCCGCCGGGAGGGGCGCGGGCTCTCGGGGCGGGCGCCGCGGCGCGAGACCGTTTCCCGGCAAGGGCGCTGGGGTGCCTCTGCCTGAGGGGCCGGGAAGTCCGCCCCGGAGCCTCGGAAAGCCCGCCGGCCCCTGCGGACCCCTGAAGTAAAGCCTCGCCGGGACGTCCCGGATCTGGGGTGTTGTTGTTGTTGTTGTTGTTTCTAGCGCGGCCCGACATTCCTCCCCGCGCCGTCCCGCCCGCCCCGCGCGCTCCTCCCTCTCCTGTGGCAACGCGCGCGGCGGGGCGCTGCGGCCTCACTGCCGCGGGTGAGCGCGCGCACTCGGCCACCATGGGGAATGGGATGAACAAGGTAACGTGTCTTTTTCTCGTTTGTGCTGGGGTGCCGCCACCGTCCAGCCGTCCCTCCTCCGGCTGCTCGCCGCGCGCGCGGGGAAAGCCCCCGTGGCGCCGTGGCCTCGCCCCCCACTTGCCTCTCGCCGCGCGCGGCCGGGTCCTCTGCGGCGGAACCCGGGCTGCGGGAGGAGGGAGGGGCCGCGAGGCTGGGGCGCTGATCGGTATGTCTGTGTTTTTGAGGTGCCCTCTGCGCGCCCCTGCTGCTGCCTTCCGGGGAAGCAGCCCCCCACCGCCTGTCAGCCTTGCCCTGCCAGCCGGCGAGCCCTGCGGCTGAGAAGCGAGCTGCGCCCTTTAAGCGTTGACACTTGTTCTGCCCCGACCTCAGCTGAGCTCAGAAGGGTTGCGGTTTCTTCTTTTTCTCCCCTCCCCTTCAGTCCCAAACTCGGCTCTTGAAGCTTCGCCACCCACATCATCAGTAAACTGGAATAGATAAGTGTCTTCTATGCTGTAATTTCCTCTTTCTCCCCAGATTTGTTTTTTTTTTTTTTTTTTTCGTGTGCACAGAGAAGTTTTTCTTGTGCACGGAGAAGTTGACAGAGGCCTAAGTCTTGAGATGTTTTTAAAGATCTGGGGAAGGGAGGGGGTGAGAGAACAGATTCAGAGCTGACTTATCGTGGTTATGTTGCTTGAGCTGCACGGACAACTTGGGAGGTGCCTGCTTGTGCTGATCATGCCTTCTAGAAAAATCTGTTACTCTTCTCTTTGTCTCTGTTGTGGTCCTCCTCTGTTCTCCAGTTTGGCTGGACTCCCCCTTCCTAGACTATGGGATCGTCTGCCTCTTTTATCTGTGGAAGGTACCAAGTACCAGCTCTTGAAGTTGAAAATTGCCTGTGGTATATTCCTGTCACCTATGAGGTTAAGGGTTTTGTGATCTTGTACTACTCATTTAAAGAAAGGAGTCACAAACTTCTAAAAAACCCTCAGCAAATACAATCGCTTCTTCACAGGTCTTTGAAATGGTCCTGGTTCAGAGATTAGTTTCTGGTCTTCTGATTCGCTTTCGTAACTGTATTAGATTCACTCATTCACATCCCCACAAGCAGTGCGCTTTCATAGTTGGTGACACAACGGGGCTTTCATTCTTTTTTGACTTTTCTCACCACTTGGGTCAGGAGAGGTTTTTGGTTCTGTAAGCTGGAGAATTAGATGCGGGATAGGGAACATTAGGAGGTAAGGTAGGGACAGGGACAGAATAGTTGCATCCTGTGTGCCTGCTTAACTCTTTCCAATGCTCATGTGGTGTTTATTGTGTCCTGGAGATGCAGGTTATCAAAGAACTACTGTGTGTTTGGAACATCTGGTTCAGAATTATATTCCGCGTGTGTGAGTGTGTGTGTGTGTGTGTGTGTGTGTGTGTGTTGGGAGCAGAGGGTATTGCTTGTTGTTTTTGTTTTTGCTTTGGTACCAGTCAAATTTAGAGACTCTTTCTTTCTTGGATAAATACTTTTCATTATGTCCCGTTAGCCCAGGAATTCATCCACATCCTGAGTCTTCTGCCATTAAAATGAAAACAGAACAATAAAGGTGCTTTAACAAGTTTATGGGTTCTCTTTGCCTTCCCATTAAATGTGGTCATACTGCAGCTTTCATTTGTCTTTTTTTCAAGTTTTTCCACTTGAGTTTTTCACTTGCCACCTCTTCCAGCATTTAACTTATATTTTTTATATTATAACTCAAAGAACATATTTAGAAATATCAATGAATTTCAGGCTTTTCAGCAAAAGCAGTGCTATACATGTGATGATTTTGACCTTTCAACAAAAATAATGACTTTCTTGACCATGCTGGTATCATGACTATCTTGTATTGTAAACAGAGCTGCTATTGCCAGAGTAGAGATGGAAAAACATGCATACAGACAAATATACATACCTCATTAATTCTACAAATATTTGTTGTGTACTTACTATTAACCAACTGCCGTCCTAGTTGAGGAAGTGGAGGTTACAATGGTACATGACAAGAACCTTTAGTATAGGCCAATATCTGTGAGCTGTATATGTAAGTGAAATCTTCCGGTAGTCCTATTAATATTAGGCAACATTAATTTTAATGTATTTAATAATATATTTTATTTAGTAGATATATTTAGAAGATTGTCATTGCAACATGTAACCACTACATAAATGGTTAACTTTTTTGTACAATATTTTCAAAGTTTGGTGTGTATTTTATATTTAAATCACATCTCACTTGGCATTAGTCACATTTTGAGCCTCAATAGCAGTTGTGGCTAATGGATGCTATATTGCACAACACAGGTGTGTGTGTGTGAGAGAGAGAGAGAGAGAGAGAGAGAGGAGAGAGAGAAAGGACACACGGTAGGAATGGGGAAAGTAGGTGTGATGAGAAGAATTTAAGACTGACATTCAGTTCAGGGAAAGGATCCTGCTGGAGTGAAAATGTTTAAGATGAAAAGAATTGCCCAAAGTTACAAGATTAGTTAGTGACCATGTAGATTGCTGGAAATTCAAAATAAAAAAACCTTACCTAGAATTTTTTCATGTATATTGTGTGAGTTGGAACTAGGTTTCATATTTATCTGTAAAAAAAAAAAAGAGGGAATGGTTGATATGCGCCATCAGTGGGATTATTATAAGGTACTAACCATAGAAAAGCTTTTCTGTAAATAAAAACATATGCCGAATGCCCCTGAAAACAAAAGCCTAAGTTGTGCTGTGTGTGCCCTGAGATAACTGCTTTCCAGTCATCTTTGGCAAAAGAAAATTATGCAGATTTCTGCTCTGACTGCTTTGAATACAGCAGTTTTTATTCATATTTCATGTTCTTATGGAGGGTGTTCACATATGGTCCAGTCTGCTATGTGGCAAAATATCCTACCATCTCAGCGAGGTGATACCCAGCATGTTAGGTAATAGTGCAAGGGAAACAGACTCAGATTCTGGCCAACCCAAATGAAGAGGAAAGAGAACACAGTGCTTGTGATCTGTTAGTTTTTGAACCTCCTACCTTGCGTCTATTCCTGAAGCCTCGCTCTAGCCCTAGGATATCAGTCTTACTCTCTTTGCAGGTTGAGAAATGGGAGACTTGGAAAGGTTAAGTAGCACAACGAAGGCTCTAGTGCTAGGAAGTGGCAGAACTGGGTTTGGAACCCAGGCCCTATTGATTTTGAAGACAGTAGAAGTCTATCCTTTGAATTCTAAAGATGCCAAAAAAACTTGCCAGAGTTCCATATTAATTGCAAAATGGGAAAAGCACCATCCTGTCTGCCTTCCTTTTTCACATTGATAAAGAGGAGAGGAAGGCAGGCCACTGAAACTCTTTTCATTGTTCTTTGTGCAGTTCCCAAATAGATCCTATAAACTGTTCAAAACTATAATCATCAATGAGCCTTGGCGTGCCAGGACCTTTTTTGAGACTTGACCACATAAAGTCACTGGTTTCATCCTCCTCACAGCCGCTTGCACTACTAGGTTCTGTTAGCTTCAGCCCCATTTTGCAGATTCTGTGCAAAAGTTCAGTGACCTGTCCTCAGCGCCCTGCTGGTGAGTGGCAGAGGCGGGACTCACAGCCAGGTGGTCTGTCTCGGAGCCACAATACAGAAGTGCCTCACGAGGCTGCTGCAACTCAGTCTAGTAAATGTCTCTAGTAGGCTTAAGATTATGCGAGCCAAGCTATTGCATGCAAATGTCATGTTTCAGTGGGTCTTTGAAAACTCCTAGTTGACTCAAAGTTTTCTCAAGGGTCTGAACCCTCAAATCTTCGGGGGAATGACCTATAAAGAAAATGCTTATCTTTTTAGTCTTTACTACAATACTCCCATCAAGAACAAGCATACAGTCTCTCCAGACAAACATTGTCAGAGAAATCTGCTCCAAATGTTTCTCCATGTGCCCCTTTTCATCTCAATCAACCTGAACGAATGACTTTGTCATTCTAGAGAAGGATTTGAGGCCCCTCTGGCTCTTGTATCTTTCCCTACTCACTGTCAGAGTTGGTTCAGACCATCCAAAATCCACCTGCCCAGTCTGGTGGTCTCTTCTTTCTTTGCTGTTCTGTGTCCTCCAAAAGCATCCTGCCTGGTGGAAATGGATTCTGAGCCAGTATTTCATGAAGAATTTGCCCATGGCATGAGAGGCAAACATTTCCCCTGGATGCACATCATTCGGAAAGCAAAAGAGCTATGTCTATCAGGAAGCTTGCTTGGAGTTGGTGGGGGGGGGGGTTGTTCTCTGCCGCTCTACTGCTTCCTGACTGTGACCTTGAACAAGTCACCTAATATATTGGAGCTTCAAGTGCTTTATCTCCCCGAACTCATAGGTGCTACTTTCCTCCTCTGGCATCTTTATTTGCTCTAAAATGAGTCCAATGCACCTTCTCCAGTAACGACTTAGTCTCTTGGGAGAAGAACATGAGAATTTATTAGGAGTCATTCTTGCAAACTGTAAAGAACAAATATTCAACCCTGCTTGTGTTCTTGGCTGTGTCCTATCAGTGGTCACTGTGATGACATATGCTTGTATATGGCTGACAGCTGGTTTAGGATGGTTGCTTTCTCCTGAGGAAGTTCAGGGGGTGTAGTTGAGAATGGAGTCTTGTTCAAGTGAAAAGGGCATGGGCCTATGCCCCCTGGTGTGTACACCACTGCCCCTCCGTCACCGTGGGCTCGCTCCTTCTTTGTTGTGGGGAGTCATCACTTTGTGGGAGGACTAGCAACATCCTCCATGCACTGGATGCCAATTGCACTCACCGTCCATTGTGACAGATGTCCCCAGGCATTGCCAGGTGTCCTTTGGAGGTCAGAATCATGACCCAGTAGGTCACGGCCCACTGACCTACAGTTCTCCATCTCAGGATCTCCTAAGGCCTGTGTGATCTGCTATTGATAATTACCAAGAGACTTGGAAAGCCCTGTTTTAGTGTGGGAAGGGGCCGAAAGGCTGGGCATCGTTGTACTGCTGGATGCTGCGATCAGCTGACATGGTTGCCAGCGTC